TAGCTACTAGTACAAACCCTCAACCCCGAGGATGGACTACTCCCTCCTCATCATGGTGGCCGCCGGGATGATGAAGATGGCCTCCGGTGATGATTTCCCCCTCCGACAGGGTGCCGGAACAGGGTCCAGATTGGTTTTTCGTGGCTACAGAGGCTTGCGGTGGTGGAACTTCTGATCTAGGGTTATTTCTGGGGGGTTCTGTATTTATAGGATTTTTTGGCGTTGGTTTCACGCGAAGATGGGCTTCAAGGGGCCCACTACCCACCAGCACACGGGCAAGGCCCCTAGCATGCCCTGGTGGGTGGTGGCCACATCCTTCACCTTCCGGTCCTCCCATGAAGCTTCTAGTGCCTCTTTTGTTCCGAAAAAATCATCAAAAAGTTTTGTTGTATTTGGACAATTTTTATTTCTGCAAAAAAATAAAACCACGATAAATCTGTTGAAAACAACGTCAGTCCAGGTTAGTTCCATTCAAATCATACCAAAACCATATAAAATTGTTGTAAACCTGGCATGAATACTTCATACATGATAGATACATTGGAGACGTATCATATATCAAGTCTCGTGCCAGTGTGACTCCTGGGCTGGCGCGGGTAACACATCAATTGTGTGAATTGGTGTGTGACAACTTTGTTGCCAATACTCATTCACCGTCCATCCGAGATCCAATAACTCATCAATCAACTTACCACTTTGCGAGTGCTTTGTCATCTAGATATTGTTGATCAACAATCAGAAAAATGCTTCAAGTCTCATTCATTGTTCACTATGCAACAACACACTACCTTGTTTCCTTTCTACCTTTGCATTTCATTTGGACCGTAATGGATATATAGCCTTGGATTCCCAATGGAAACACTATCTATCTTGTAACTGGGTGAAAATCCTAGCTGCCATGTTCCGTTGTCTTAGGGTGTGTTTGGTTTCAGAACCAAGTGGAATGTCATGGAACCGTCCATTCCTATGATTCCATCTTGGTGTAGGATGAAATGGTTCCTAGGGGTAGAACGCCAAAGTTTCCTCTATCTCCTTTTCTTACCAAACAAGCATCACAATCCCCTGAACTTGCTGCTGTCTCAGTGAATCTAAACTTGCCGCAATGAATCTGATGTCTGAACTAGCAACCGTAGTTAATCTAAACTTGCCACTGCCTAAAACGCCAACACCATCCCTGAACAAGCATCGACCACCAAAGCACGGACGCACGGTGACCGTGCTAGTTGGAGAGGAGGATGCCGGGAGGTTGGAGTTGGCCTCGGGCTTCCTCCCATCCCATCCATCCTGTCCCTCACGCCGAAGCTTGGCGGATCCAGCGTCCTTGCACACCACCATGCCGCCCGGCTGGATGCGATGCCCCCCGCAGCGAGCGGTTCCCTATGTCGCACGACTGCAGCTCCCAGCGGCGCGTGCTCAAGCACGACGGCCGGTCGGATGTGACACTCGTGATGTCGCACGACCGCGGCTCCTAGAAGCGTGTGCTCAAGCGCGACGGCCGACTGGATGCGACGCCCCCGGCAGCGCGTGTTGGATGCACAATGGTGGTGGCGGGTTCTTGCTACCACGTTTGCCCCGCGACTTCATTGGTTTGTGTAGCAGGGGAGCGAGAGCGTGGGAACGGGCTGTTCCGCGTGCTCCACTCGATTTCAAGAGACCTCTCGGGGTGAATAATCAGGGAATATGCCATTCCTTGGAATCGGTTGGTTCCGGTTCCTTCGATGATCCAAACGAGGAATGGGTCTTCAGGACAGACCCGACCCGTGCCGTTCCACATGATGACACAAACCAGACACACCATTAATTGGCATACCAGAGATTGACACAAACCCTAGACTTTCTCATCATAAGACTGTTACTTTGCACTCTATTTTATGACTTTAAGGCATCTTCTGAACTTTAGTTTGTCAGGGTCTAACACGAAGCCCGGGGACATCGGCGGCAACAAGCGTGTGGGATCGGTGGATCGAGAAACATGCAAGATGGAACATGGGAATTGGGCATCCGTGCAAGTTCATGAGGTGGCTTAGGTAGACTCTGACAAGTGGGCTGGCAAGGCATCCCGACCCTGTGATAAGAAAGGCTTGGCTCGAATTTTCCCATGTCTAGCTAAGTCGATTCGACTCGGGTTGATTCAACCCTTGCCGGTTGTTGGTGTCATCCGTCACCGTTCGATGCTTCTTCTGCCTTCTGTATCTAGCACTTCTTCCTTCTCCTTCACAACCCCAATCCTTTTTGTTGAGTTGCGTGTACGTGAATGTGTATGTTTGTTCTATATTTTTCAGAAAAGTCAAAAAACTGTGTTATTAATCTGGTTTTAACTGAGAATACAGAATCATGAAATACTTCTTTTTTTCGAGAGTACGCCAATGGCGTACCTTATCTTTATAGAAGGTAGAAAGAAAATGTACAAGAGAGGCTCGAGCTAGATGCTAGGATCTAAACTCGGCCAACACCCATTACACCCAAACCACTCTACTCTCTAAATCTACTCTCTCACAAAATGTGTTAAACCACCAACACCTACACCGGCTTGTCTCCATTGTTGTACTTCTCTGAATATGTCGTCAACCAATTCTCTTGGGGTTCGTTGTTGCTGTAACCTATTGAACACACGCGCGTTCCATTGCTTCCACAACTCCCATCCGACCAAGATGACAAAAGTGTTGTAGCCTCTCTTTAGACCCTTAGGCATCCCCATCCTAGTCTCGATCCACCAATCGAGGAAGGTATCGTCCACCACCGGAGGCTGAATATTTAGGGTTAGGTCTTGAAAGCAGGTGTGCCACACCTGTCGAGCATAACCACATTTTACCAAGATGTGTTCGGCATTGTCTTCATCCTGCAAGCATGTGTAGCAGGCGAACGGTTGATCTTGTAATCCATGCTTTGCCCTTTGGTCAGAAGTCCAGATACGGTGCTGCACAGCCAGCCAGATGAAGATCTTGCACTTCAAAAGTGCCCAACTTTTCCAGATGCAGGAGGCATACGGAGCCCATTCATCACCGAGGCATAGTCTTTGGTAGGTTGATTTGGCCGAGTATAAACCTAAAGGATCGGCAGGCCAAGAGAAGCAGTCCGGATTGCTCGGATCCCTTTGCACCGTATTAATGGCCAGATTCAGGTGCACCAGCTGTAAATGGCCAACCAAATTCAGCTCCCCATTGATATCATGCAGCCACCGGCCATTCTCCAGCCCTTCACTGACCGTACGTTTATTCCTTGTGCGAGTGTCAACCAAAGCGTGAATCATGGGTGCAATATCATTCACCGCAAAGCCATGAATCCACCGGTCCCGCTAGAAGAGAACCTTAGTGCCCTCGCCCACCTCAATCTTGACCATGCCGTCAAAAACAGCTCGAGCATCCTCATCCTCTATCATGCGCAGGCCCCGCCAAGGTCTCTCTGAGTCCGTGCGTTTCAACCATTCCCATCGGACCCTAAGTGCGAGCCCCTTCAACTTAAGGTTCTTGATGTCGAACCCTCCGAAGCACGTGGGCTTGCAGACCGCATTCCACGCTACCATGCAATTGCCACCCGAGACCTGATCCTTCCCCGCCCAGAAGAATGCTCTCATCCATTTGTCAAGCTCCTCGAACACCCATGCTGGTGCGTCAGTGATCATGAAATGGTGGATAGGTTTCGCCGCGACCACCGACTTGACCAGCACAAGGCGCCCGGATCTTTGTAGCAGGCCACGTTGCCAACCAGGAGCACACTTCTTCGCTCTATCCAACATGGGCTGCCAGTCCGTGTTCTTTAGTTGATGTATGGCGAGTTGCAATCCAAGGTATTTGCAGGGAAACTTCCCCAACTCGCACTGCAGAAGGTTGGATACCCTGATCCTATCTTCCTCTTCACCGTGAATGAGAATAGCAGATGACTTTCCATAGTTAACCCTTAGCCCAGACGCATCTCCGAAAGCTTTAAGCGCCATGGTCACGAACCTGAGATCTACCTCGTTTGGCCTGACAAACAGAGCCACGTCATCGGCGTATATCGACACACTTTGATTAGGCCTGATGCCGGTAAATGGCTTCAGAACACCTTCCTCTGCGCCCTTAACCATGATGCAGGAGAGCGCATCCATCGCAATGATGAACAAAAGAGGGGACACCGGGTCGCCTTGTCTCAAACCTTGGGTGAGCCAGAAACTCCTACCAGGTACGCCATTGACGAGTACTTTAGTAGAGGCCGTGCGCAGTAGGATGGCGATCCATGCTAACCATCTCTGTCCAAAACCTTTGCGCCTCATAACTTCAAACAGGAAGGGCCAAGATATAGAATCAAACGCCCTCGATATGTCTAACTTCAGGAACACCCCCGCTTCTTTACGTGCATGGATCTTTCTGGCCACTTGCCTCACAAGGAGGAAGTTGTCATGCAAGTGCCTGCCACATATAAACGCTGACTGATTGGCCATGACAATTTCCTTCATTCTTCTCCTTGCACGGTTAGCCAACATCTTGGCGAAAAGTTTAGCAGCGCTATGGGTAAGGCTGATAGGACGAAAATCCCCAACCAACTCCGTATCGGATTTCTTAGGGATGAGCACAGGAAATACTTCTTCTCAAGTACTACTACCTAGAAATTCCGATTTCCCACTCTTCTAACCCTTTAATTAAGAAATGAAGGCCCCCCTGCTACGCTGCAACCATTTCGCAGCACCAACCATCAGTCACGTGACAGAATCTCACCAAAAATATCACCGCTGACAGCGACGCCCCACCGTGCAGTTACCAGTGGCTCACCGTAGACCAGGTGCAGGCACCCACCAACTACCACCCTCCCCCCACCTTTCCGTCCCATAATTCATTCCAATCACTCACACGCACCGACCCACACCGGAGCAAACGGCCAACAAACACCGCACGCTCGCGCGCACACCGAAGCAGTGGAAAGAGAGGAGCGGACAGAAAAGCCTGGAAAGCCAAAAAAGAATTCACCAGCACAAAGGGGAAAGGAGAGAGAGAGGCGAGGCTAGGGTTTCGTCCAATTCCGCCATGGATTCCGGCGACGCGTGGGGCCGCTCCTCCTCCACCTCCTCCTCCGCCGCCGCCGCGAGGCGCCTGCAGTCCCGCTACGGTACGATCGATCGGTCGGCCCGATTTCGCCCTCGGTGTTGGCCTCGTTGGTTTTTGATTCGACGTTGGGGCTGATGCGTGATTCGCTGTGGTCGTACGTCAGATCTGTACATGGGGTTCGACGACGCGGACGCCGGCGGGGACGAGGTGGAGGCGCGCGGGGCGGAGGCATACAACTGCCCCTTTTGCGGCGAGGACTTCGACTTCGTCGGGCTCTGCTGCCACATCGACGACGAGCACGCCGTCGAGGCCAAGAGCGGGGTATGTCGCCTCGCCCTTTCTGATGATTCGCGTTCTTGTGACTCGCTCGGCCGGGTCCCGTTTGAGCCTTTGAAATAATTTTTGCCGAAATGGGACATTTTACGCCAAGTGTCGTTAGGATGCGCCACGCTTCAGGACGGAAATGTTGATAATGGTGCAATTAAGGGACCTGTACGTTTTAGTGGTTCGGAAAATCCATTGTTCTTGTAATTTTGATATGGAATAGGTTTATTGCTCTGTAGATTGCTGAAAAGATGAGACTCTTGAATGTTCTGCTGGAGAATTCTTGTTTGTCTGTGGTAGTTCAGGTTGGAAATGTAGAAAACAAGTTACCTTTTGGGTGGCTGCGTTGGAACATTTTAGGAACCAACTCCTTTGACAGAGCTTTTTTATGGTGTTGCTGGTTGGAATTGCGGGATTTGGTTGGCCTCTGTCGTTCCTACAGGAGTCTTTATGAATCTAGTGATTATGATTCTTGGGAATTTTTTCTTTGGCCAGTTTGGTTATGGAATGTAGTTCCCTTGGGTTGTAGGAGTATTAGGTATTGTTGGTTCTGGAGTGAACGACTGGTGCAACTAGATGAAAGTCTGAAACAATTTTGTGTTATAGCTGGCCAATAAGATTGGCTGTACACAGTGGCAAATTGAGCATGAAAGTGGAGGATATGCTCAAAGGTTAATACACTAATCTGAATAAAGGAAATAAATATCAAATGTAGGCTTGTTGAATTTAAATTTTAGATTGTGCATCAAATAATCATGACATCAGTGAAATTCTCCACTTCTCCTAACATTCGTAATGAAAGTGTGAAGCGGTAACTTCTGAACAACAACCATCAACTTTGGTAAAATTCTTAGCATATAGCCCACTTGGTCTAAAATATAAGGCGCACCGGTTCGTTGAGATATATCTTTAACTAAACAGTTAAAAAATGTGGACTATCTTATACGAAATCGGTATTATTCAAAAGTTCATTCCAACACGAATCCAACAAGGTCATTTTTAAATCACACAATCCACATATTGTTGACCAATTAAATTCTTGATCAAAGATAATCTTGAGAAACATGTGCTATGTTTTACCTCCGTTCCAAATTAGTTGTCTTAGATTTGTCTACATACGGATGTATCTACGGAGGGAGTATACTTATTAGTATTGAATTTGGAAAGAAAAGAAGTTGCTTGAATCAAGAAAATCTCGTATAGCTACAGACCACTGCTCGCCTCCCCTGCTACACGGTCTCTGGTTGCCAACGTGTTGGGCGACACGAGACGACGAGAGAGGGTTCAACACAGGCTAGCTGTTGGGCGGGCCATAGGCACTAAGGCCCAAGCACCGCTTGCTTTGTCCAGAACCGTGTAGGCACTGTCACACGTATTAACATAATCTCTTTTGTGGTTATCTTCCATGATTGCTAATGCATATATGCCTTTTTCCTGGCAAAATCAGAGGCTAGGCTGTCGAAGCCCACCTGATAGATTCGCTACTGGCTGTACAAGTTTCTTTTTAGAATTTCTCTTTACAAAGTTCTAGTTTCCAGTTCTTAGTCTCAGGCCCTCTTAGGTGACATGTGTTATTCTGCTCTTCAGTTTGAGTCCCAAGTCCCAACTTTTAATTGTTTTTCTTGTTAAGAACTCAAGTTCTAAGCTCTCTGAATTGTAGAAGGTCATCCTTCTCCTTCAAAGTAGGGCGTGCATTATTAATTCGTTATGTTGTTTGAGATACAGTTGCTAGGCTAGGCCATGTTCGTTCCTTTGGTAGTTAAGAGTTTGGATCTATGGTTGTTGCACATTTCATCGAGTAGAAGTGGTGTCACACTGATTAATTTGTGTGTGGTGCGGAGTAGAGTTATCTATAGAATGAAAAGAGTGGTACCAAACTCTATATGGTTCGCGATTGCTACCTGGCTTCCTACATTAGGAGGACTCATGTTTACTGTTTAAGGACACTAGAGAGTTCAGTTTCTTCTTTTATTATTACACTTAGAATATAAATTGATGTGTGTGTTGCTGGGTTACCTTGAGTTTATTTGGACTGTAAGCCTAGAGAGAGTTAACTAAAACATACTTCCTCCGTTCCTAAATATAAGTCTTTTTAGAGATTCCAATATGGACTACATACGGATGTATATAGACATATTTTGGAGTGTAGATTCATCCGTTTTTGCTCCGTATGTAGTTCATATTGGAATCTCTTAAAAGACTTATATTTAGGAATGGAGGGAGTAGTTAATTTTTACCTGTATTGGACATAATTGGCAGTTTTGTTCTTTTTTTCTGGTAGGACTTCATTGTAACACTGTGCTTACCTTGCGTCCTTGATTGTGTGAGCATAACTGTTTGATGAATTCAAATAATAAGCACTCATGGAATTTGATGAACTAACCTTTCAGGTATGCCCCATCTGTGCTACAAGGGTTGGGACGGACTTAATAGGCCACTTGACAATGCAGCATGGAAGTTACTTCAAGATATCCTTTTTTTTTATTCACTGTACTGCTGCCAATGAGTGATAGTGACTTTACCATATTACAGTGTGTCCTCTTCAGAATACATGGTTTCTGTTGGAAGACAATTTATTCATTGTTTTCCTTAATGAAAAATACATGCAGCGCAGGCGCAGAGTCCGAAAAGTATCTTCTGGGTCCCATTCTTTGCTGTCTTTGTTGAGAAAGGATTTAAGAGACGGCAGTTTGCAGTCCTTTCTTGGTGGATCATCCTATGTATCTAATCCTCCCGCTGCCGCCCCTGATCCATTTTTGCAATCTTTAATTTGTAGTTTGCCTGTGGCTGAACCATCGAAAGATTTTCGTTCCGACTCATCTGACAAAACATTTTTGCTAAATAAATTCCCAGATGAAAAGATCGTAGAGAGGTATGTCACCTCAAGCTTTGTTCTTTCTGCCGCCTCACTCCGCTTCCTCTTTGCCACGATGCTACTGTATCTGCTGAGTGGATGATAGATTTCCACATTCTATATTGTGCGCTGTCCTTGTGCATAGCCAGTACAGCTTTCTATGCCCTCTAAGTATGAATAAAATTGCAAAGCCTTGATGCCAATTAAGTTTTGTCATTGTTACCAATTGTATAGTACATTGTCTGTTATGGTTATGTGGTTACCTTATTGACGTATTGGTTATCCCTTTTCGGCTGTTAGTATGTGCTTGATTTATTCCTTAATCTGCTTGACATCATTTGATTTGGAAGATATTTCTCCAAGAAAATACTAGGTTGAACTTACGCATGTGCTGTATATCGTAGTAGTCTACCCATCTGTATGTTTCATATTGATGATCAATGTTATGGGCCTTATGGTTTTTGATGACCTGTTGCTCACCAGAAATTTTAAATTATTTCTTGTTGCCAAATATTGTAATCTAAGTTCGAAATATAGGCAGGTTGTACCTTTTGAGTTTTTAAATGTAGGTTTTGCTGTAGTTTAATAGTTCTTGTGATCAAATATTTGATTGAATGCCTGGTGAATTTACAGAGCTGAAACATCTCTGTCCAAGAAGGATCAGAAAGAGCGGGCTCAAAGGAGTGCGTTTGCCCGTGGGCTTGTGCTTTCCACAATATTTGATGATGATACCATGTAAGGGAGATCGACTTTGAGAGTGGTTGCATGACATAGTCAAGGGCACTCAACACAAGAGAATTTATCTAGAGCACTGCAACCTTGTCATGCAGCCACTGCCGCTCACAGGCGTTAACGACCAACCGGAGGTCCATCCAGTTATGAATGTATATGTATTTATGTATGCCTTGCCGAGAGCGCATCATGAGATTAGTGGAGGAAGGCCTTGTGTTGCAGCTTTCCACATGGAATAAATGGGGATACTATCCTTAGTGGCATTGTGCATATACAAAAGAGGGGCGAGCTACTCGTCATGTATTAGATTATATTCTGTTTCATCAATGTTAAGTGTGTTGTAAACTCATCTCATCCTTAGTATGTGAGATTGCTTTGATGTTTTCTGTATATATTTTATTGTGGTACATTTGACATTTGAGGAAAGGGAATGGAGTGAATTTAACATTTCTTGCTGTTTCAGATGTAAACTGAAATGAGGCCAATTAGTTTCTTATCTCTTGATGGTTACATCTCGTACTCTTTCACCGCTTGGTTTCACATGTTGGGTCTCCATCTGATAGCGAACTTGATAGATAGCATGCCAATCGAAGCTGTATATCTAATTGCAGCTTCTCTATTATATATGCACCGGAACGAAATTCAGAGACTCTACGATGAAGCTATACATCTAATTGCAACTTCTCTGCTGTAGATTGACACCTTACCTAGAAAAGCTGAACCTGAGATTTACTAAAAGGGGCGTCTTCACTACCAAGTCTATGCACCAGATAATGGAGAATGATGTACATGGGGCTAACTTTCAGTGGATCTGGAGGGCAAAAATTCCTTTGAAAATTCAAAATTTTCTTTGGCGGCCCTTTCAAAATGCTATCCTATTAGGTATGTGACGCAAAAGAAAAATGGCCTGGCAATAATGTTCGTTCATTTTGTGATCACCATGAGTGAGTGCAACACCTTTTTTCCCATGCCCTGTAGCCATGTCCTAACAATGTGTGGCAATTCTATGCTTGTTGCTATGTTTACTTTCCTAGTGGCAGCCATCTGCTGGGCCATTGGCTACCTCGTAATAAGGCAACCTCTGACAAGAAACCGATCAAATCTCCCTTCGACATTGTGTGTTTTGTTTGGTCGCTTTTATTGTACTGGGCAGGTCTTCACAAGGCAGAAGGAGGTTGTATCACGTGGATTAATGCTACAAGCATGTTGCGTATCTGGGGGAAGAGGCGGATCGATTTTGGAGGTTGTAGTCACACTTTGCTGCTGGCTAGAATGTTTCGGTGCTGATTATGTGGGCGGGTATGCGTGGCTTATGTCATCAGTATTGATTTGTTGGTTGTGCGCTACTTTATGTGGAACTTGTAGGTTTTCTTAGCCAGTGTTATCAGGTTTTTGGCCCATTGCGCACGAGCCCGATTACGGGCGGGCGCAATGGTTTTCCTGATAATGCATCGAACTCGCTTCTGATAATGGAGTCCCGTGTCGTAACCCTCCCACAGGACTGTGCCGTACAATGCGGCCAGGAGACGAGAGGTTCTGGTGCGGAGAGGGGGAGAGGGACTAGTGAGCAGGTGGCTCTCCGGTCTTCTTCCCCCTTACCCCCTTCGGCCGAGTTCCGCTCGTCCATGCCCGACCCTTCTTCACCGACGATAGGGGATGGGCGTGGGAGTCGGGATTTCACTCCTCGGGAGAGGACGACGAGGAGCTTATCGCTTTCGATGGGATTGCGGATCCGGTGTCGGCTGGCAGGCGTGTCAGCAATCGGATCCAGGGACAGCCGGATGCGGATGACCTGCAGCTAGTGCGTGCCAAGAGGGCCGCCATGCTTCGTAATGTCGAGACTACTACAAGTGCGTCTTTTGATAAAAGTTGTTAATTTTTGCACTTCTCAGAAAATGAAATAGTAGATAAGGCAAACGACTTAGGAATTTCTTTGGGGTCAAATGAAACCGAGGTCGTCAAATCCATTAATGATATTTTAGACTTAGAAGTGGAGAGGGCTTCCGAAATCATTCGAAATCTTGCATTTATCAAACCAATGAGTGACAATGAAATGAATAATTTAGGAATGGCTGATCTCGCAAATATTTGTAATAACCTTTTGCCTACAATGGAGGCGGAGGATGAGGAGGATTTGGAGACTACAGACACGGTTGAGCCTCTCCTGATTGAGGGGGAAGATTTTGTGGTCACCGATCCTTCTATCCCGCATGGAGTTGAGGAGAAGCCCAAATGGCCCTAGAAGCGGAAAATTTATCCTACATCGGCGGTATGCAGAAGTGCCAGAGTTAAGCATAAAAATATATTCATGATGACTTATGAAAGGAATATTCTGGAATAGCAGAGGTCTAGCAGACTTGGCTAAACAAAGATTCTTAGCAGAGACAACGATGGAACAACACTTAGACTTTATCGCACTTTTGGAAACTGGACGAGATAATTTCACATCACAGTTTCTTCAAACTCTATCCAGTGGTATCAATTTTGACTGGCACATCTTACCTCCTAGAGGACAATCCGGCGGGATTTTACTAGGAGTACGGTGTGAGACGTTAGAGGTGCTTAATGTGGTTCAGGGAGATTTTCGGTCAAATTCAGGGTGCGATCAAAACTAGATGGGTTTCGATGGTCCCTAGTAGCGGTCTATGGGGCAGCACAACCTGAACTCAAACCTGACTTTTTGGCCGATTTGGTGCGGATTTGTGGAGATGAAAATCTGCCTATACTAGTTGGGGGAGATTTTAATATCATCAGGAGAAGAGATGAGAAGAACAATGACAATCTGTCCATGATGTTTAAAACGAGTCTCAATTTGAGAGAAATTGAGCTCACCGGTAGACAATTTACATGTGCCAACTCGTTACCTATTCCGACTTATGAAAAGTTGGATAGGGTCCTTGCTAATGTGGAGTGGGAACAAAAATATCCGTTGGTGTCGGTCCATGCGATGCAGAGAGTGATCTCAGATCACACACCACTTCTTTTAGACTCGGGGGAGGTTACACATGTGGCAAATAAAAATATATTCTCCTTCGATCACAACTGGTTTGAGCGAGAAGGGTTTATGGAGATGATTGCACGAGAATGGGCTATGCCGGTTAGTGGAAGGACTCATGTTAAGAGATGGCAAAATAAAATTAGACATCTCCGACAATTTCTGCGAGGTTGGGCCAGAAATGAGAATGGGATCTACAAACGAGAAAAAGAGCGTCTTACTCAATTGATTGAGGCACTAGACTTAAAGGCGGAGGCCACTCTTCTCTCTGTTCATGAGCAACGAACGAAGTCCCAGGCTGAGCAAGGTCTACGGGCTCTCTTGAGAGAAGAGGAGCTGAAGTGGGCATTGCGTGCGAAAACGCTGAGGGTTGTCCAAGGGGATGACAATACACAATTTTTCCATATGGTTGCAAATGGCAAGCACAGAAAGAAAAAAATTATACATCTTGAACAGGACGAAAGGATAATAGTGGGACATGAAAATCTGAAAGCATACATCTCTAACTATTATAAAAAACTTTTTGGTCCCCCGAATTCATCTACGGTGTCCCTTGACGAATCTGTGATTAAGGATATACCTCAATTACAGGCAGCAGAGAATGATGTTCTCTCTGCACCGTTTACTGAAGAAGAGGTTTATCAGGCAATTTCCCAAATGAAGCCGAATAAAGCATCGGGCCCAGATGGGTTTCCCGCTGAATTTTATAAGAAATGTTGGCAAATTATTAAAGATGATCTTATGCCTATGTTTTACGATTTTTTTGACGGTCATTTGGAGTTGTTTCATCTTAACTTTGGTACGATCACGCTGTTACCTAAGAAAGATGAGGCAGTTCGGATCAAACAATTCCGCCCCATTTGCCTGCTGAATGTGAGTTTCAAAATCTTCACAAAGGTAGGAACTAATAAATTGACACAAATTGCTCATTCGGTGATCCAACCGAGCCAGACAGCGTTCATGCCGGGACGACCCATACTGGAAGGGGTGATCGTTCTACATGAAACGCTTCATGAGATCCACTCGAAGAAACTAGACGGGGATATTTTCAAACTGGACTTTGAGAAGGTGTATGATAAAGTAAAATGACCTTTTCTTCAACAGGCAATGCGTATGAAGGGTTTTACTGAAACCTGGAGGAAGCAAGTAGATACCCAAGTCCAGAAAGGTAGTGTAGGAGTCAAGGTGAACGATGACATCGGTCACTATTTCCAGACGCATAAGGGGTTATGACAAGGGGATTCCATGTCTCCTCTTCTGTTCAATATTGTGGCAGATATGCTGGCCGTCATTATTGGCAGGGCCAAGCAGCATGGCCATGTAGAGGGTCTAGTTCCTCATCTTGTCGATGGAGGGATTTCCATTCTACAATATGCTGATGACACTATTCTATTCATGGAACATGACATGGCTAAGGCACGTAATATGACTTATCTTGTGTCTCTTCGAATAATTGTCTGGATTAAAAATTAATTTTCATAAGAGCGAGGTGTTCTGCTTTGGGAAAGCCAAAGACGAGGAACACAAATATAGACAATTGTTTGGATGCGAATCAGGTGCCTTACCATTCAGTTACTTGGGTATACCGATCCATCACCATAAACTCTCCAATAAAGAATGGAAATGTATCGAAGAACGAATTGAAAAAAAACTTAGCTGCTGGAAGGGTAAGCTTATGTCATATGGAGGTTGGCTAGTCCTGATTAACTCAGTACTGACTAGTATGCCGATGTTTCTACTGTCGTTCTTCGAAATTCCGAAAGGAGTTCGCAAGCAACTTGATTTCTTTAGATCCCGCTTCTTTTGGCAGTCTGATGAGGCCAAGCGGAAATATCATCTCGCGCGATGGGATATCATTTGCCGACCTAAAGACCAAGGGGGTCTCGGTATTGAAAACTTAGAAATCAAGAACAAATGTCTTATGAGCAAATGGCTCTACAGACTAGAGACTGAGCCGGAGGGCATGTGGTCTCAACTCTTGCGCAATAAGTATCTGCACTCGAAAACACTAGCCCAGGTTACCATGAGACCGACTGACTCGCCGTTCTGGAAGGGACTTATGCGCACGAAGGACCTGTTCTTTCGTAGGGTCAAATTCTTGGTTGGCAATGGAATGTCAACAAGATTTTGGGTGGACACGTGGCTAGGAGAGACGCCCTTGGCCATCCAATATCCTACACTCTATAATATTGTACAACGTAAAGAAGATTACGTGGGTACCGTCCTTCAAACAATTCCCTTGAACATCCAATTCAGGCGTGTGTTAGTTGGTGAGAGATGGACCGCCTGGATGCACCTGGTTCAGAGATTGATAGAAGTTCAACTCTCCGATCAGCCGGATTCAATACAATGGAAATTAACTATGAATGGGAGGTTTACGGTGAAATCTTTTTATATGGATCTCATTAACTCTGGCCCCCTATCAAGGTCGCTGCACATTTGGAAAGTTAAGATTTCTTTGCGTATTAAAATCTTCATGTGGTTTGTTCACAAGCAAGTGATACTCACAAAGGACAACTTAATGAAGAGGCGATGGGTAGGCTCTTCGTGGTGCTGTTTTTGTGATCATGACGAAACAATACAACACTTATTTCTTGAATGCCCACTTGCTAAGTTACTTTGGAGAACGATTCATGTAGCTTTTAATATTAATCCTCCAGTTGATATTGCGTCTTTGTTTGGGACGTGGTTAGCTGGGGTTGATCAGATCACCGCGGCTCGTATTCGGATTGGAATATGGGCGCTATTATGGGCTATATGGAACTGCAGGAATGATATGATTTTTAACAGACAACACACTTTAACTTTTTTGCAGGTTATCTTCAGAGCTATAGCTTGGATCCGTACATGGTCCTTACTCACTCCTATGGACTTCAGGGAGCCTTTGATTACTGGGTGCAACCAATGGGAGATGGTAGCTCGGGTTATCTTCAACCGGTTCGGATGGCGCTCGCATAACAGGATAGGAGTCTAGAGAGCTTATCCTTTTTATCTTCATTGTGCCGGTTGACATGGTTCACATGTATTTTTCCTTTTGATACTTTATTCTGCTCCGTTTATGAGCTGTAAGACTTTTATGATGATTATGGATTGTTAATAAGATGGCCGCATGCATCATCATGATGCAGAGGCCAGGGGCAATGCCTCCATTTTCAAAAAAGTAAAATCCAACTCGCTTCTTCTTTTCCTTCTAGCTGTCCGTAACTTTGTACTTTTGTTATGCAAGTAATGAAAAAGGGGTACCCGCACAAAATCTTGGATTGATATTTGTGCTGAGGTTTGGACTTGGCACATCCATTTAATTTCCCAATTGCTGCAACATGTCATTCGCCATTCTGTTTTTTTAAAATTGTTGTGATTATTTACCACATGTATCACGTGGTTAATATGCCATTCGCCATTCTGGTTAATATGCCAGCTGTTGCTATGTGGAGCCTTTGAACGTTTCGATACTAGGATGCACTACTGGTAAAAGCCCACCTTGTCTTGCTGATCTTGAGCCTTCTCGTGCTGTAGTTCTATCCCCCTAGCCCCCTAGAATAAATAAAAAACAGTTTGGTAAAGCATGTCTAGATGCGTCCTAACTATAGCATATCTAAATTCTATATCATTGATTTTATGCGGTGATTCATGCAGTGTTTTTTTTCTTTTCTTTTCGTGCTTCATTGAGTCATGACGTGCAATAACTAGTGCACACTAGACGTACACGATTTCCCCACACACAAAAAGACCACAGAATATGTGGGTAATACATGCATGCATCCATCGTCGACTCTGAGGTAATCATTGCATGGCTTGGGACTTCACACTAGCTAGCTAGAACATAGCACCGTTTTATTCAAAATCATAAAACAACTTGATAAACCAAACCAAACAATTCATTGAGCGACGGTCCTTTCCCTCTTGCTTCTCTCACCCGTCCTGGTTCAATCTTCAGTTGGAAAGCTTGTTGACGAACCTCTTCTTGGGCCTCAGCTCGTTGCTGTGGCCGCACTTCTTCTTGCGGCAGTTGGTGGACCTCAGGGGAAGCCGAGCGTAGCACCTGTTCCACACCACCACAGGTTAACAACAAAGATTCGGCCGATCGATCATATGAACTCATGCAGGCATGGGGTATATATATACACGTACTTGCGGCAGACCATCTTCTTCTCGTTGTACTTGAGCGCGAGCTGCAGGAGATTTGGTTCCACGTTTAGGTAGCCTCCCCTGGTGCCGCCGCGGAGACGGAGCACCAGGTGCAGCGTCGACTCCTTCTGGATGTTGTAGTCGGCCAAGGTGCGCCCCTCCTCCAGCTGCTTCCCCGCGAAGATGAGCCGCTGCTGGTCCGGAGGGATCCCTGCAACAAGCAAACAGTTTAGCATTAGCATGCGCGGTTAGTCGATTGCAAACAAGCAAACAGCTGCTTCACCATTGGCCATTGCCAACACAGTGTATACGTAAGGCCGGCCGGCCGCCGGCGAGCAGACGATCTCAAGCCAATGAGATGACGAGATCAGTCGATGGCGGTGCGTACCTTCCTTGTCCTGAATCTTGGCCTTGACGTTGTCGATGGTGTCGCTGCTCTCGACCTCGAGCGTGATGGTCTTCCCGGTCAGGGTCTTGACGAAGATCTGCATCTTGGCGGGTTGATCGATCAACCGCTCCCTGGCTTCTGTTGTTTGATCGTCGTGGGTAATGGGGTGGTGGCCGTCGTGGGCGATCGCATTCTCGATCTCAGGTATATATAGCGAACCTGGGGTGGGACCGTGGGAGGAAACTCGCTCGCTACGAAAGTAACCCGCCCCAATGGGATATCACCGACGTGGAGCGTAATTTTCGCGTGGGGTAAATGGAAACCGTAACCACGTTTATTTTTAATAAATTTTTTTAAATGCGTAACCACCGTCATTATCTGTCGGATCGTGATTTCCCCTCTGATAACTGATCCCACACCGCATCTTTCCTCACTCCTAACACGACCATCTCTGTCCACCTAACCATCCAACCGCATGTTAGTTTATGGAATCGTCTCTTCTTTGTTAACTCGATTCATATCAATGGATTGAGTGACGCACTACGTTATGATCATCCTTTGCCTGCTAGTGGAAATAGCTAAACAGGGTCAGGTAAAGTCGAGATCGCTCTTTTTTGTTGCAACTTCACCTTTGCAGGATGAGCGCACGGTCGACCGCGAACGCGCCGAGCTCACCCGTCTCGAAGACGAGAACAGTTGTTCGATGAGCTCGAGGTGCTTCTATAGGAGGAGAATGTCCCGCAAGTGCACATAGGTGGTTGAAGCACTCCCGTGAAAATACAATCCTAGTTTAATATTATTTCCAGCGAAATGTAGGGGAGGTGTCACAAGTCTTGTGTGAGCTGACTATTTTGGTGTCCGCAAAAATTACTATGAGGATGAAACACAAGTAATTGAGGTAAAAATAATTTGTCTAAGACTAAGGGGGCAAATAAAGGACAAAAAATAAAATAAGTGTTGGTTTGTCTGCAATGGGAAGTTAGACGCGAAGAGGTTGGCCGTGTAAGTTTTTAGATCATGTTGTCCGAGTCCTTAAATTAGACAACAAACATTAATTGTACTCGCCACACATAACAACCTAGTACTTAATCATCGGATCTCTCAAATATCAACATAAAAATTAAGCACGAATAAATATCACTAATCCCATACATTTCCCACGCCTTGGGGAATTACACGTGCATGAGAGAAGGATAGCAACTGGACAACGAGACTATGCAAAGGGAAACCATCTCAATAATATCATAGATCGCATGTTGAATGATTAAACCGATCTCAATCTCTGGACCATAGTACGAATAGAGTTTACAAACCATAGCCTTACAAGTTGGAACCTCCCTCTAAGACGATATTATCGTTGGTGCAGAGGGAGCTGGAACAGATCCGAGTGAAGCAATTCTCCTCCGGATCCCCCCTATCTGCTCTAGTCGCGGTTCATGGTTGTCATGTTGTTCTTCTCTGTATGTTGTCAACACAAAAGTTACTTGTATAGGTGAGGGGGAGGCGGCGCTGCCTGGTACAAGGAGCAGTACAAGTGGCGATGCTCGGATGTGCCAAATGAAGATCTTTCCAATTGGAAACTTATAAATCCCCTACTCTATTATCCAAATATATCTCCAGATCCTTCTAAAAGTGTTTATTCATGAAAAACAAGGAAACAAATTTCTTTATTTTTGACAAATAATCGTTAGTGAAAAGGCAACACCGACGGAACCCATCGTTAATCTGAGCAAAATACACTTGGAAAACTATCATAAAATGGGAGGACAATGATGAGATGTTGTGGAGTCGGCCCATCACCAACGGCAATAACACTGGCCCCTCCAATGTGGGTGGATGGGGGTGATGCCCGTCTCATCCTCAGACTCAGACTTTGACAACTATCTTAAGCGCAAGGGCGAGTAGAGACCATGTGTTGTGTTTGGCATAGTACGTTGACATCCTGACCTTCGATCCACCACCTCTTGCGAGACGAGGGACCATATGCTGCATCCTGATTCCCAATGAGGGGGTTGGGAGCGTGTTTTGGCGTGACGCCCAGGCAGACGGGCCCTCGCCCGAGTGACCTCCGGTGCAATTTGCATTCAAAGACTCGATGGTTCACAGGATTATGCAATTCACATGAGGTAGTGGTTTATAGTTTTTTATATGTTTTAATTTGATGGTAGGGCTAGTAGGATGTCAATTTTGATCTCTAACGAGTGGGCTTGAACTGTTACTTATGGTATGTGAAAATGAGATGCTAACGTTGTACCATTGCTTTATTATGAAAGTACCTAGTTTAAACATGTGTGTTCAAATGAGCTTGTGCGCAAAAATGTGTGATTTTTAAGGGATTAAGTTTTAGAGGGTATGCTAGCTCAAGAAACGTTTAATTCTTTAAAAAATTAAGAAAATAGGGTAGGAGGAGGAAGCTTTTGCACTTTTAAGATAAGGGCTCTGCTATACATATGCCCTAAAAGGAGTCTCTCAAAGGTTACACTAGAGTGGTGATGTATTGCCATGTCGTACGGTAAAAGGTTTACTACCACGATGATGATGTGCTTGTCATATAGTGTCGGTTATAAATTGTAACGTGTCTAACTTCTAGAAAAAATAGCAATGGAGATTTTTTTGAGGACAAATGCAATAGTATCATTCTTGCATGCTAAGGGCATACAGTGCATGCGCTTAGCACGGACGCCGGAATTTGATTCCCGATAGTTTCGTTGTAATCCGGTCCAATCCTAGTATTTAGTCTAGCATCAATGCTGAGGGACTCACTGAGTGTCGTGGTACTAAGTCTGACAGTAAGAATAGGGAGTACGTATGAGGAGGCGAGGCCCCAGCTACGGCGAGATTGTACACATGAGTTTTACGAGTTCAGGCCCCTCTTGAAGGAGGTAAAAGCCCTACGTCTCGGTGCCCTGAGGCGGTCGACTGAAATATGGGTGTGTGTGTGTGTGTGTTACAAGGGGTGCGAACCCTTGTCCCAGAGGAGGGGGGTGGCTTATATAGAGTGCGCCAGGACCCCAGCCACCTCCGTTACAGGGGTTCAATGTACATTAAGATAGGGCGTTACTGAGAACGCCAGCTATAAAGTGTATTTAATGACCTTTAAGACTACGGAGTGAATGCCCGACCGTTGCCGTCCTGAGTGACTCCTGGGCTTCTGTAGGTCGAGTGGTTTCTCATATACTCGAATGGCTTCGTCTTGGTCGAGTGATATCAGGAGGGAGGGGTACCCGAGTGAGATGACTCGTCGAGTGGATTGCACTCGACGACTTCAATTGATACTCTCTGTTGTTCTTTGAATGTCTTTGCTTCTATGGTAGTGACCTTGGGTAGAGCGTATAGGTCAGGCCTATGACCCTACCCTAGGTCTATGGCATCGTCATTAGCCCCCGAATGGATTGAGGTCCGAGTGAAAAGAAGGTTGAAGTTGGTCCTACCTTGACTCTTGTGCTTCACAAGTACCCATGCTGGATTGGAGGCCCACGCTGAAACTTTGGCTTCGTTTCAGTCGCCTTGATCGATTCAGAAGTTGTCGAGTGGACTTATGTCGGCACTCGTCGAGTGTTACTTTGATGCGAAATCTTTGGCACGATTGGTTACTGTGTATCCCGGATCTCACGGGATTCGAAAATTTGGGGAAACGCGTGAGGCGGAGCGCGCCGTAGTAAGCAGGACGGATAGATAGGTGCGCCTCAATTTCTGCGCCACCTTTTTGCCATGTACCCGACGTGCGACTGTTGCGGGCTTTGACATGATTGCTCAGGCCCACGCGTCAACCACTCGGAAGTGGGTCCTTAAAAGGCGTCGGGGCCGAGGCGTCTACACTGTGCGCCTTCATTCTCCTTCTTCCTTCTCCGCTTCTCCACTGCATCTTTTTCCTTCGCTCTCGATGCCGCCGCCCCGCCAGTGCGCAACCCACCACCATGGTGAAGGACAAGACGGTGGCGCTAGAGCGCGCGAAAAAGGCGACGGGGGCGGCGAAAGGCAAGAAGACAAATCGGGGGTCGTCGTCAAGGTTCGCGCTGCCGCCGGGCTGGATCCAGGGCGATTAGATCCGATCTTCGCTCCGGCCAGAGGATCTGGAGGAGCTGGCCGCCTACGGTTTGATCGCTGCCGGGGCCGCGAGGCTACCGGAGGGGGAGACGGGGCCTCAGCCGCGGTCGGGTGAGTGTGTCCTCCTTGCTACCCACGTCGACCGTGGCTTCTCCCTTCCTCCACATCCTTTTTTCGGGGCTTCTTGAACTTTTTCGGTGCCCAACTTCACCACTTCTCTCCCAACACCATCACGTATCTCGCCGCGTTTGTGTCCATGTGTGAGAACTTTCTGGGTTGTCGACTGCAGTAGGGTCTCTTCAAACACATCTTCACAATTCGCCCCCAAACCGTGAAGAAGGCAAATTCGAGTGATGAGAGGACGCACGTGATCCAGATGTGCGGGGGTCTAGGGATCCAAATGAGGAAGAGGAGCACTTTCCCTACCATGACACTTCCTGAGTCGGTCAGGGGCTGGCAGTCGACCTGGTTCTACTGCCAGAATGTTACGACCCCCGGTCAATCGACCGGTTTTCCCCCTTTCACCCTAGATCGTGCCCCATAGCCTTCTTCACTAACTGTGACCGCAGCAAAGAAAGTAGAGACAGACATGTTGTTGGAAATATGCCCTAGAGGCAATAATAAATTAGTTATTATTATATTTCCTTGTTCATGATAATCGTTTATTATCCATGCTATAATTGTATTGATAGGAAACTCAGATACATGTGTGGGTACATAGACAACACCATGTCCCTAGTAAGCCTCTAGTTGACTAGCTCGTTGATCAATAGATGGTTACGGTTTCCTGACCATGGACATTGGATGTCGTTGATAACGGGATCACATCATTAGCAGAATGATGTGATGGACAAGACCCAATCCTAAGCCTAGCACAAAGATCGTGTAGTTCGTATGCTAAAGCTTTTCTAATGTCAAGTATCATTTCCTCAGACCATGAGATTGTGCAACTCCCGGATACCGTAGGAATGCTTTGGGTGTACCAAATGTCACAACGTAACTGGGTGGCTATAAAGGTGCACTACAGGTATCTCCGAAAGTGTCTGTTGGGTTGGC